TTTTTTTTTATAATTTTTAAAAATGTATTTGGGGGAGGGAGGGGAGGCAATCTGGGTTAAGTGAGTTGCTTGCCCAGGGCCACACAGCTAGTAAATGTCTGAGGGCAGATTTGACCTCAGGTCCGCCTGACTCCAGGGCCGGTGCTCTATCCACTGTGCCATCTATGTATTTGTATTTGTGTGTACACATCCCCCCAATATAACATGAGTTCCTTGAGGGCTGGAGTTGTTACACTTTTGCCTTTGTATCCCCAGTGCCTAGCATAGGTGTTGGGACACAGCAGATATTTAATAAACGCTTGCTAATTGTGTGACTTATGGATTGAGTTAAAGCTCAGTAGATGAGGATGGCACTGTGGATCCAGGGGAACAGCTTGGAATTCCATCCTTCTCTAGCCTATTGATGACACATCAATGGTGTTAACCTCAACAAACGGATGACTTTTTTTCCTTCTTTCAAACATTGTAATGTAAAGTGTTGCCCTTCTCATTAAACTGGTTCACTGTGGCCAGGCATCACCTCCCCATTCCCACAGGACCCTAAAGGAGATGTCCCTAGTGAGTGATAAGTGGTTCTGCCATATTGCTCTCTATCACTGTTCCCCCTAATCCATTTCCCTTTCCTAAGATTCTTCCTCCTCTCACTCCTCTTCCTGTAAGGGGGTATAATGCCATTCTCAAAGCCTTTTGGGACAGACTCTCTCCTCACTGGTGGAGAGAAATGTCTTGCCCTGTGGGAGAAAAGGGGCAGAGTTGGTGAGAGTGGGTGAGAGAAGAGTTCTTTAGTTCTCCTTGAGTTCCTTCAGATTCTCTTCAAGCTTCCACGCTGTCTTCAAGTTGCCAGGTTGCTTTGGTCCCTTCAGTTCCTTTGAGTGCTTCTGGCTTCCAGCTTCAAGAAGGAAGAAAGAAGACACCAACCCCACCTCAGGTTGCTGAAGGAAAAGACCCTGAGAAGGCATGAGAGGAGCTGACAGTCTCCATTGTGTCCCTGTCTCCAGCCTGCTACACTAGTCTGTGGGGAACTTCCCCTTGAGTAAGATCGAGGACTCTCTCCCTCTTTCTTCATTAAGCTGAGTTGCCTCCCTCCCAATAGGAGAGCTCCTTCCATCTGTATTGTCTGGTATTTATCCTTCTTATACTTTCTCTGATCTCTATTTTGCTACTGATCCAGACAACTGGGTTTTCTTGGCTAAGTGCTTCGTATATTCATTGTGGAACTGGTATTTGGTGGGAACAAAGCCCTGGCTTTAAAGCTTGAGGTCATACCTTCCCCAAAAAAGAAACAGCGATAAGAAATTAGTCTGAACCTGATCACATTTTCTAAATTGACAATATTTAAGGGAGCAAACTGATATATTTCTAGCCCAATACCTCCTTTCTCTAAGGAGAGGAGAATGGCCTCCAGCCCCAACTTCCTACTTCTCCTCTGGCAGGAATTAAAGTTTCCCTTGGAGAAGGGTGGGGAGAGAAGAGACTAGAAATGTCTATTCTGCCTTCCTTTAAGCCACTCCCACAATGGCACACCCATGCTACATGTAAGGAAACAGCCCCTTGAAATATGTGGAAGCCTCACTACAGGGCTTAATGGATTAAAAGCCAGAGTGGATCAGATAATCATGAGGGTCCAGGATCTATGCATCAAATGCTGGGACCAATGGTTCAGCATGTCATTGGGAGTCCAAGACATTAGGGAAGCGGGTAGGAAGTCTTTGTCCTTTACGGTATGTTCTACACAATAATAATAATTCACTTGTCTTTCTTGTTTTTCCAGCCAAAGAAAAGTGTTTATGAACCAGGGTGGTCAATGATCCAATAGCAGTGCTTTTCCAATTAGTCTTTGAGAAAAGCAGCCCTTAACACTATCAAACAATTCGTTTTCCTAGGAAACTCTCACTTGCAAACTATAGCTAATTCTATTGTTTTCAGTTCTGCAGCACCCGCATTTTACTAGTAGGAACTGATAAGCTGCAGAGCTCCAAAGAAAGGTCACCAAGGTGTTGACGGACCTCAAGATCATACCATATGAAAACTGGTTGAAGGAACTGGGAATGTTTAGTTGGGGAGAAGTTTTGACTCGAAAATGAGACAGTTGGGGCTAGATGATCTCATAGGTTCTTTCCATTTCTAAATCAATGATTTTATGAATACAGTCATACCTTTCATTTTACAGAAGAGGAAACTGAGGGCCAGAAAAATTAAATGACTTGGCCAAGGTCACATGATGGTAAGTAACAGAGCCAGGATTTGAGAGCCCAGGTCTTCTGAGTCAAAATCTAATGCTATGCTCTACTTTCTCACTCTCCCTCACTGCCAAGATGAATTGGAGATTGGCTGGTCACATAATAAGGTATTTCCACTTGGTATTTAACCTTGAGCCATCATTGTTACTTCCAGGCTCATTTCTGGGTTCTATCCATTAGCCCACCTGGAGAGGTGGGAGGAGGTAAAGGGAGGGAGCAGAAAGAGGACACAGAACCTCTCCCTGGCTAGGGGACATGGTATAGGAGTAGCAATGGCAAAGAATAAAAGACAGTGGGAGTTGGTGAGAAGTCTGTTTGCCCTTTTGTAAGTTGAAGACTTACTTAAGTGGCATTTCTAGCTTTACTCATTAAAGAAGAAAAAAAACAACAGCTCCCACCCAATCCCTCACCCCCAAGCATTTGCTGTTTTACTCTGAAGTTTATTTTTAAAAGCAACACAGGTAGAGTTATTGTTCTTGATGTTCCATTAATTGGATGGAAAATCAGATCTGATTTTCTAGTCAGGGGGTGAAAAGTTACCCAAAGCCACTCTCTTCTCTGGATCTCTGTTGCATTTGCTAATATTGGGATGAGGAGTATATAGTTTGTGACCTTGGATCAAAAGTACTTGTTTCTCTGGGGAAAGGTAACTTGACACACAAAGATGGCACCCAAGGCTTACACTCATGAGCGCTGGGTTAACCAGTCCTGACAGTAAGCTGTGTAGTCAAAGGACTCATTACCTCCTCCTCCTGTCCAAGGGAGTGAATGTAGCTTTTCCAAAAGGTCTTATTATTGACATTGGCTTGCCATCTTGCCTCAGTGTAAAAATCTTCATGTCATAAGATTACAGATTTAGATCTAGAAAGGAACTCAAAGTCCCAACTCCCCCATTTTACAGATGAGGAAGCAGGCTCAAGGTTAAGCAGATTGCTCAGGGTTACATAGCTGGAATAACAAAAAACAAAAATAGCAACAACAATAACAATAATGAATATTTATAGAGTACTTACTATGTTCCAGGCACTGTGCTAAGCACTTTACAATTATAAGCTCATTCCATCCTCACAACAACCCTGGGAGGTAGGTACCATTTTACAGAAGAGGAAACTGAGGCAAAGGTTAAGTGACTTGCCCACAGTCTCACAGCTAATAAGTATCTGAGTCAGGATTTTAACTCATCTTCCTGACTCCAAATCTGGCCCTCAATGCACTAAACCACTCTTTAAAAAAAAAAAATGTGTACATGTGTAAGGTTTGCAAAGCATTTTCCAAACATTATGTCATTTGATCCTCATGATAAACTCGTAGAGTAGGTACTTTTTTTTTTTTTAGCAGATCAGGACACTAACGCTTAAAGAGGTTTCCAGGTCAGGAAACGCTCTCTACCAATTCAACTTAGAGTCTTAGAGAATTGCCTAGCATAAGGGTATCAAACTCAGATAAAAATGGAGGCCAGTAATCGATACGTGGGGCAGGTAGCTGGTGCAGTGGATAGAATGCTGGGCTTGGAATCAGGAAGACTCCTCTTCATGAGTTCAAACCTGGCCTCATACTCATTAGCTGTGTGACCCTGGGCAAGTCACTTAACCCTGTTTGCCTCAGTCTCCTCATTTGTAAAATGAGCTGGAGAAGGAAGTGGCAAACCACTCCAGCATCTTTGCCAAGAAAACTCCAAAAATTGGGTCACAAAGAGTCAGAAGACTCTTCAGTTTGAAAAGACTGAACAAGAACAACAAAAGTTGCACATAAGGATCTCTGGTGGCCACATATTAGATGAGGAAACAGGCTGCAGGTAACTTACCCGGTAAGTGTCTGACGCAAGATTTGGACTCGGATCTTGGTGCCTCAAAACCCAGCACTCTATTCAGACCTCCCCACCTTGCTGCCCCCAGGCTCTTGCAGAATTTCACAACAAAATGTCTTCTATTCTGCAGTCAATTTCTCATTTTTTTTAAACTGGCTTCCCCACCTACCAGTTTACAAATCATACTGAGGCCTGTGATGAGGGCAAAATGACACAGGCAGTTAGGTGAGAAACCCAAGTCGTCACTGCATTTTTAAACATAGCACATAGCGTGTAACACAAACGCCATTCATAAACCTTAGTCACAGGTTTCAAACCAAGCATCAGCATATGTACAAATAGTCCATTTGTGCCAACCAGCAGAGAAATCATTTATGCCCAATTAAACAAGCCCCCAGCCTTAGTCATGCGTACAGACCCCTTTCACAACTCCCACCCGACAAAAGGGAAAATATTCAACGGAAAATTCCTAAATGGTCAAATATCTTTACATCAAATTGTACAATATGCACAAAGCAGCATTATAAAAATGAAGCTGAAAATTATATTGTCTTCTCTTCTGGGTATCTGATGCTCACCAAGTTCTATAGAATGTGTTTGCTTTTCTCCACATCAGAGCAAGGTGTGACTAGTGATGATAAATATGGATAAGGACTGAACATGGGATTTCATGGGTATAGAGAACTCCCAGTCAGGAAACTCCCTCTACCAACATAACTCAGAGTCTTACAGAGTTGCCCAGCAAAGAGGTGTTAAACTCAAATAAAAATGGGAGTCACTAATCTGTACATGGGGCAGCTAGGTAGCAGGGTAGATAGAGTGCTGGGCCTGGAGTCAAGAAGACCTGAGTTCAAGTCCAGCCTAACACTTACTAGCTGGGTGGCCCTCCTGGGCAAGTCACTTAACCCTGTTTGCCTCAGTTTCTTCATCTATAAAAGGAGCTGGAGAAGGAAATGGCAAATCATTCCAGTATCTTTGCCAAGAAAACCTTAAAAAGGGTTATGGAGAGTCAGACACAACTGGCTACTACACAAATCTATACGTAAAGATCCCTGGGGGCCACATATTAACTTGATGTAAATGTAATGTTATCTGCGTTTATTATATTTTTATTTTGTTAAGCATTTCCCAGTTACATTTTAATCTGGTTTGGGCAACAGTTTTGACACCTCTGGCCTAGAATATTGAGAGGGTAAATGAATTGGCTAGGGTCACATGAACAGTATTTGTCAGAGCAGAACTTGAATTTGGGTCTTCCTGGTTCCAAATCTGGCTCCAGTGGAGATCATCGATTGGAGATGATATATAGAGAGTTGAAGGAACCTCAGACATTATCTAGTCATAGATAATGGTCATAAGATTCTGGCATCACAGATTTAGAGCTACCAGGAACCTCATAGGTAACAATCCAGCTCCCTCACTGTCCCAGATGAGGAGACTAAGTAAGGCTCAGAGAAGTTGTTTTGCCCAAGGCCATACTGCTATTAAGTGTTTGAGCCAAGATTTGAACCCAGGTCTTCCTGATTCCAAGTCCAACAGTCTATTCAGACTCTTGTAAATTTAAGACCTACTTAAGTGGGATTTACAGCTTTACCCATTAAAACTGGAATCTGGCCTGTATCACTAAGCATAAGAATAGTGGGGACTCTATACCATGCAAGGGGAAGTGATCCCCTCAGGGTTTCACAAGTAGTAAAGCTGGAATTCAAACCCAGATCCCCCATCTCCAGACTTCTGAAGTGTTCTTTCTGGAATACATTGATTGACACTTCCTGGTTTCTACAGGACAACAGGACACATCAGCGCTAACAGCTAACAACTCAGGGTTCCTTTCACATGTGTAAACAACCAGCTATTTGCCATTATCAAACAATTATGGGGGTGGGGTGGGGAAGCTATTCCTTTTCCTGGCTTTAGAGAGAATTCTTAGCAATCCATGGAACCCTAGCTACATTCTATCACCAATCAATTGGAACATGACAAAAAGAAACCCAAATGAACACCTCTGGAGGTTTTACTCTGGGGGGCTGCCTGGAGGAAGACCATATTCACACATGTCTGCTAGCCACAGGGGCACCAGCAGGGCTTGGAAGAGGCAAGGGGCTTCTCTGGTGTCATTCGTCCATACAGGCCACATCCCTGGCTTAGAACTGCCATAGCCAGGCATTCAAATCCCTTTGCAGAGAGCCAGCCCAGCCTCCACTCCCACAGTCCATCTGAACAGTTACCAGGAACCCAGTGTGAAAAGTATCTGCAGGAGCTGTTTTATGGAGTACTCTCTGTAAGCTGCAATTCTCCCCCATGAGAGGTTTGGCTTTGTATCTCTCCCCCACCTCTCCCAATCCTCAGGAGTGATACACAGCTCATGTGTGGGATTTGGAATGCCAAAGACTGCAATGCATGGAGTAACAAGAGCCGATCACAGTTTATTTAGCCCACGGGCTGCATTCTTTCAGTTCTGAAGCCAGTCATTCAGCCTACTGGGTCTCTCTGTTTTTTCTCCACACGCTCTACCAAGGGCCTCAGCTTCCAAATCCACCGCCTCCTCCAGGTCCTTCCAATCCAATCCTCAGTGTCAATTGACTTCTCTCCTCAAGCCTCCGTCCTTTTTCTGGTGCCAGTCTCTGATGACGTGGGTTATCTTTCAGTTAAGAACTCACTAAAGTGTAGATCATGCTGCAATTAGAAAGAAATACGTGACAGGCAGGGGCCAAGGGAACAGGTCCATTCCATGCCTGAGGGAGGAAGGACTTGTTCAAAAGAGAACCCCCTCCCTTGCCCTCATTATTCCAGTCACCAGCGTTAGCTTTGGGTGTTAATGTGCACATTCTATTGGCCCATCCCCTTCTCCTCCTCTTGCCAATCTTTAACCAAATGTTTCTTAGGAAAGCATATTGTGTCCTTTGGGTAAAAAAGAAAGATGTGATTGTTGCTAAGTGCCTACTATTATTCTCATTATTATGGTTGTTACTCTTTTTATTGTTGTTATTGTCATTGCTGTTACTCAATATTCGACTTAGGGGGGTCACAGCTAGTGCTCAGGCCAGGGGAGGAAGTATTGGAGTCTGCCAGCTGCCACGCGTCACACCAGGGTCCCAGGGCTCTCAGATGACTCTCACGCTATTGTTGCCCATGTAATTATTATTACCACAATTGTTATGGCTGATTGGTGAGCACAATGGCCTCTGGGCACCTGTACAAAATGGACATTTAATTGGACTATTCTTGGGGACCCTTTGAGTCACTAACCATTGGGGTCTGTGTGTTAAATATGGATTAGGAACATGTGATCCAAGGCCTGGTCCCTGAGAATGGAAGAGAGGAAGTAGGGGGTGGAACATTTGGGTTCTGTGTAATTTCTTCAGGTAATTCCCCCGAGGTAGAGGAACAGCTTGTTTCAAAATGCATTAATTTTGTTTCTTCATTGGGCCAAAGGGGAAACAATCATCTCTTCACAGAGTGGGGGTGGGGGAAACAGTGACTGTTAATAAGCTTATCTGAAGAGTCTAGAAGAAAGAAGCTTATGATTCTTGAACCGATTCTGTTCTGAAGTCACAATGAGTAATACTGTCCTGATTAACTGCAGCTCTGTCTTCCAGCCTGATGCCTCTTGTTTCAAGAGTCTCCTTGCCAAAGTATAAGTAAGTAGGGGCAAGGGAGGAGGGAGGGAAGTTGCGATTGTGAGAAGTGACATGATGTGGCCAAAGACACAATCATGAGACAGGTTGGGTAAAGAGGCCAGCTCCCCTTATTCCCTGCTCTTTTCTCTAACTCTCCTTCCAACCTTAGGAATGACACCAATGAGGTTTCCTCTACTAGAGTGAAAGGGTCTAGAGAGACAAAGGGTCTACAGGCAAAGAATCCAAAGCCCTTATACTGGAAGGCCTAAGACTTGAATTCAAATTCCACTTCTGACATTTACCTGTATAACCTTGGACGTATTATTCAACCTCCTTGAGCATCACTTTGCTCATCTGCAAATAAGACTAGATGATGTCTGAGTTTCCTTCCAGTCCTAGAGTTACAATCTATGGATACTATACTGGCCCAAGAAGCAAGAGACTTATGTTGAATCTAGCACAGACGACAAGACGATAGGCCAGACTCAGTGAAATGCTAATTGGCCATAACTCCAGCTCTTATGGAGGGTGGAAGAAGAGTCCTTGCAACTTAATATTTTTTTTTAATACAGAAACCATGAATTTAACAAAATGCCATTCCAAAATTACTCTGAACTAAAGGATTGGAGGATAATGAGTCAAAAGGAACGTCTAGAACACATTTGGTTACAGAACACTCTCGGTGACAAGCTGTTGTCAATATTGCCAACACCATCCCTTCCCATCACCCCAAACAAGCAGCCAAAGAGACACATTGCTATCTGTCTATAAATTCATATGTCATCTTTCCCTGTGGCATCTCAGTGCTCAGACACAGATATGTCAGTGGCACCAAAATGAAGACCGGGGTCCTCTTTATCTCCTCCTCCTCTCTCTTTGTCTTTCCCTAGAGCCAGAATGAGGCAAAGTAAAGAATTAAAATATAAACAATCAAGTAACTGAAAGGACCTGGGTTCAAATTCTGCCTTTGATGCTTATTATCTGTGTGACCTTGGGCAAGTCATTTGACCTTCACCAATCTCAGTTTCTAGTCTGTAAAAGGAAAGATTGGACAAGATGCCCTTTGAGATCCCTTCCAGCCCTAAATTTCTGATCAACAAAGAGTCAGAGCGGGGTTCAAGTCTTTTCTTGTTGACTACATATCATAGCTGTCCTCAGTCTGGGACCACTGCTGCAGCAACTCTCTCTAGCCCTAGGATTATAATAGGGTTCTATTTTTTAAAATAATCTTAATATTTGAAGCTGGAATCAACCTTTGGGATCATGTAATCCAGCCCTCTAAGATGAGGGTAAATGACTTGATCAAGGACTTAAAGATAATAATTAAAACTGGGTGATTCCCTCTATCACATGGCCAAACTCAGAATCATAGAAGCACAAGGTTGGAAAGGCCCTCAGAGACCAAGTCCAACCTATGCCTGAGCAAAGAGTTAATGCCTTAGCTATTCATGGCTCCATGCTGGTCAAGTAGCTGCCCTCCAAAGGCTGTTCATCCCAGGAGCCCTAGAAGTTCTATGGTATCTTGTAGCATACCCTAAGCATGCCCACAGGACCATCCCAGGCTAAGAAGAGTCACAAATCCAGGAGTTCTAGTTCAGTCCACAACTGGGTTGCTGGCAGTGGGATGGGATGGGTATAGTCTGAGCCATGTCAATCTTTAAAGTCTGGAGGACCACAGAAGAATGTTTTTGAGTACCTTTTTTTTTTTTGGCTAGGCAATGAGGTTAAGTGACTTGCCCAGGGTCACACAGCTAGTAAGTGTTATGTGTCTGAGGTCGGATTTGAACTCAGGTCATCCTGAATCCAGAGCCGGTGCTCTATCCACTGCTCCACCTAGCTGCCCCCTTGAGAACTCTTTTCAAGTATACATTCTAGCAGACCCTTGGTAAGTCTAAGTTTGATATAGGCCGCAGGACCTTCCCCCATCTAGCTCAGAAATTTCAGGGAGATGAGGGTGGGGAGAGGGATATAAAAGCACATGACCCTCCATCTAGAGCTGAAAAATCCCTCAGAGACAATCTAACTCAACCCCTTCAATTTATAGATGAGAAAACTGAAGCCCAGGGAGGCCAAGTGATTTGTCCAGGTTCACACAGGTAGTAAATGACAAAAGCAAGATTTGACTTCAGTGGGAACTTTCTACTGTACCATATTGCCTTTCAGCTGGAAGCTTTCTGAATGAAGTCCAGAAGGGGTTCTCTGGCATATACTCAACTTCCCAAGCTAGTCCCAGATCTCGAAGGTGGCCCTGAAATCTTTCCATCTTCTCATGTCCCATGAGGGAGTTAGAATATGACCTCTAAGCTCCCTTCTAGTTCTAACATCCTTTGATCCTATGACCACCCTTGCCTTCCTTAGTCAGTATCAACCAGGCCACCCTGGATTTCTACATAGAGGTTTCTTCCATTTGCTATATAGACTCTGAGGGCTACAGGGGAGAGAAAAGAAACTCACCAGTAAAGGTAGTAGAAGAAGGAGAGGAGATAGAAAGCCAGCTTACACCAGGCCTCCTTTTGACAGTAACTTAAGGTGTCTGCATTCATGACCACAGGAGGATCATAGGCTAATTCGGAACTATCTGCAGGGCAATGGAAATACCTAGATGGAAAGAAAACACCAATGAGGCATTGCCTGGTTACTTTCTACTTGCCAAATAACAACCCCTAAATATCAAAATCCAGTAGCCTCATGGTAAGCAAGCCTGTAAACTCTGTGGATTGGCCTTCCACATAGGGGATTTGACTGGAGATGTGGAGCAGAATCAAGATGGTGCAGTGAAAGGAAGCATATCTGTCTCCATTCACCCAAAACACCTCCTCCACAAAATCCTGGAAAACAGCCAGGCTGAATTCTGATCAGGAAAGCCAAGAAAAGGTCATAGTACATCATTTTTCCAGCCTAGGGGGACAGAGAGAGAAATCTGTGGACACTGGGGCAGGGACTGGCCAGGACTGCATAAAGCAGCTGTTACAGTGGCAATAGGGAACACTTCAACACTAAGGGATGGAAAGAGGGCTCCACCATAAAGAGATACTATAGTGATAGTGATAGGGAAGCTCAAGACAAAAACACAGAAGATGAGATCTGAGATGTAAAAAGCTCCCTACTCTGCTTCCCTCATCAGTCCCTGCCTAGCCATCCAGTTGGACAATATCTCCCCTACCCAGTTGCCTTAATACCTAAAATTCCATTAGAGATTCTGTACCTTCTCATTGGCTCTTTAAAATACAAGGACTCACGAAATGGTAGACTTAGTTGCCTTCGTGTAAATCAGAATATCAGACACTTTCCTCCAAGATGGGAGGCCCCCAGAGCAACAAAAGTGCATTGTCTTGGTAGATTGGGAGCATCCAAAGGGGAACGGGGTGCTCTCCAATAGCACCTTTCTCCTCTGGCCTCAGTCACCTAACAGCATGGAATCTGAAACTCACATACATGATCTATTTTTTTTTATTATCTAAGCTTTTATAATTTTCTAGGTTGTAAGTCAGACTTAGAATTTAGAATGAAGAAGTATAGTGAAATGTAGAGCTTAGGACTAGGATAAGAGTGAGGAACCTGCAGCCTCGAGGTCACATGTAGCCTTCTAGGTCCTTGGGGGCGGCCTTTTGACTGAGTCCAAGTTTTATAGAATAAATCCTTTTATTAAGGGGATTTGTTCTGAGAAGCTTGGATTCAGTCAAAGGGCCACACTTGAGGACCTAAAGGGCCACCTATGGCCTTGAGGCAGCAGGTTCCGTACCCTTGGACTAGGAGAAAGGATCATGGTTTAAAGAATTAGGGTTAAGAGCTAACATTAGCAGCTAAGGGTTATAGTTAAAGAAGCTGTTGTTCTCTCATGTCCCACTAATCATGACTTCATTTGGGGTTTCCTTGGCAAAGATACTGGAGTGGTTTGCCATTTCCCTCTCCAGCTCATTTTACAGATGAGGAAACTGAGGCAAATAGGAGTAAGTGACTTGCCCAGGGTTACAGCTAGTATCTGCAGCTGAATTTGAACTCAGGTCTTCCTGACTCCAGGTGGGCCCTCTATCCACTGCACCACCTAGCTGCCCTTAGTAGGGTTAGCCTTATGGATTAAGGTTATAGGCTATAGTTATGGATTTGGTTTAGAGTTTATATTAGGAATAAGGATTAGATTTATGAGACCATGCATTAGGAGTCAAGGTTAGGGATTAATATTAAAGATAATATCCCAAGTTGGGGACTGGGTTAACATCAGGGATAAAGACTGGTGGTTAAAGTTAGCGATAAATTAATCTTGTTCCATTGTGATGGAACTCTAAACTTCCCAAATACGATTCCCTATCTGACCTGTCTACTTTGTAAACACAGGTATTCCTCATTTTGAACAGCATTCATGGGAAGTTATATGTTTTCAAGTTTTTGTAAAGGGAATCACATTTTTAAATGGGTACGGAGCAGGTGTCACTATTTTTAAAAGCCCTATAGTAAATCATTTTACAATTAAGAATAACCACCTAACAACTAAGAATGACCATCTTTTCATCTTAATCCAAATTTGTATAATCAAGTTTTCTCAAAGTGGGGCTCATCTGTAGAACAAAGGCATTTTCATAAGAAAGAAGTACTGTGATGGAGGAACAGCCCTACAGAAGATTCAGGGAGTTCTTGACTTGGGGTTGGGATGAAAATAAATAATAAATAACTCTCTTATGGTCTCTTTCTGCATCACATGCTTCATGCAATGGTTCAGGACTCTAGTTAGGACCAACCTACCGAGATGAAGAGTTCCCCTGGATGCCAGCTGAGAGAAGGTCATGAAAGGGACTTGGATGAGTATACTGCTGCCAAAGGATGAAAGGAAGTTATCAAGTAGCTCCTGGCATTGGAGGATTTCTGTCTCTGGCAGAAGGCTGGTAAAGCAGATGAAGGGGAGCAGTGAATCAGATCAAAGGCAGTCTTACCTCCAAAAGTGATAGAAGAGCAGAGGAACATTCAGCCCTAGCGTCAGCCACTCCTGGGCACACAGGAACATGATACAGAAAAGGCTGTGAATTGAGTATTCTGGCAGCACCAGCTGAGGGAGAAGCAGAGATACCAGAGTGAAAGATTAAGGATGGAACCTCCAACTCCTTTCTAGAGGCACAAAATATGAATGCTGGAAAGAACTTGAGAAAGCATCTACTGAAGGAGTTCTTAACCTTTTTTTGTGCTGTGGACCCCATCAGCAAACTGAAGCCTATGGACCAGGAGTGGGGAACCTGTGGCCTGGAGGCCATATATGACCCTTTGACTAAATCCAAAGGCCACAGGTTTCCCATCCCTGCTATGGACCCTTTCTCAGAATAATGCTTTTAAATGCACAAAATAAAATATGTAAGATTATAAAGAAAATTAGTTAGATTGAAATAAAGATATATTTTTTCCCATTCAAGTTCATAGCCCCAAGAATTATAGTAGCATTGACTTGATTATGGTTCCCAAGATGCAAAACTGGATAAGGAGTTGCAATGAGCCTCAAATACAAAGTGCTATATGGATGTCAACTGTTATCATAAGAGCAAGGTTCTATTCCCACTGTGAACCATTTTGGGGGTATTTTGCTTCACAGAGAGAAAAGTCCTACCTTCCTGGCCATAGAGTACATCTTTAACCCCAGACTGCAAGTATGTGTTCTGGATCAAGAGGGAATGGATGTCTGAGAGTAAACCTACCCCTCCCACTAGAAAACAACTAACAGCATAGGTGTAGTGAACAGCAAGGTTGAGACCCTGACTCTAGCTGATTAAGCTAACCACCCCAGATGGATACACACAGACACACACAGACACACACACACACAGACACACACACACACACATACACATCTACCAAGGAAGATACCCAAGACATGTTAGACCTACACATATAAGCAGATACAGACATTATACTTTGTATTTAAATGACACTGTCCTCCACACTCAAAAGAGTAACCAAGAATTAATCAAGGGCCCACCATTTCCATTGTCAGGCTTGGCGGATGAGTTGGGATCATCAGTATATTGCTTGGTAATGCAAGACTCCAATTTGCTCAGTAAATTCATCCTGGAAGAAAATTTACCCCTGTACCTTCATACTATTTTTGAACTATCTCAGCAAGGTACAATAGAAAGAGCAATGGATTTAGCAGACCTGGGTTCAAATCCTGTGTCTAGAGCCTTCAATATGGAGTCAGGAAGCCCTGACTGTGAATCCTGCCTCAGACACTTCCTAGCTGTATGATCCTGGGAAAGTCACTTAACTTCTCCCAGACTCACTTTCTTTATCTATAAAATGGGGATCAAATAGTATCTAGCTCACAGGGTTGTTGTAAAAATCAAATTTGAGATAACGTAAGCAAAGGACTTTGCAAACTTTAAATATTTTTATATTTAAACTTTATATCAATAAAAATATAATACATAAAAGAAAAACTTTACATAAATGCTAGCTGTTATTATTACCAGCTACATGATCATGGTTGAACAATCAAACAACAAACATTTATTAAGTGCCTACTCTATGCCAGGCACCGGCCTACACACTGGGAGTACAAAAACAAAAAGAAATAAAACGAAATAAAATCATTCCTGCTTTCAAGAACCTTACATTCTACAAGGTATTTCACAATTCTTAATATCAATTTTCTCATCTATAAAGTGAAAGAGTTGGATCTGATATTCTCCAATGTCTCTTCCAATTCCAAAAATTCTATTATCTTATAAAATAATTTGCACTCTGCAAAGAAGCTACCCTTAATGCCCTGGCCAAGTTTAGAGAAGTCCTGGTAGGTAGCTTTCTTGGTAAAAGCCTGGATGGTTTGGGCTCTGGCTCTGGTTTCTCGATAGCTTGCCACCTCAGGGAAAGAATTCTCCTCCTGTGCACATACGTTCATTTTTTAAATCATCGGTTTCAAGCATTAGCCACTTCTTCCAGGGTAATTAACATGTTTAGAGACAGCCGCTCTGTGCCTGAATCATCTATTATAGCACCATCGCCGTCTCCAGGTCTGATGACAAATCACTGTCTGATTATGGTTTGGATTTCAAGCCCCACTATTAATCACTGCTGCCTCTTCCCTTTTTGGGGTTTGATTCATTGTGGAAGCTGTAACCTTCCAAGCAGAGAGGATTCGTCATTGTCAAACCTCTGGGAGAAATTGCTTAATGGAGTCAATCTGGCCCTAAGATGCTCCAGCCTTTGTGGTGAGGGCAGTGTTCTGGTGTAAGTGAGGTAGAGAGGGAGAGATGTTTTACTTCCAGGGGTGAATTTGGCTGGGATGCTGAAATCCACCCTACCCCAACAGGGAACATAAACCACATGTACTTTTCTCACATTGGCATGAAGGAACGCAATTCAATGAGGAAAAAACAGGGCTCACCACATGCTCATACCATCTAAGGGAAGATTATTCATCTTCCTTTCTCACACTCACCAGAAGCAATAGGCGTTCACAGCCACTAGTATCCTCAGAGACACCAGTAATAAGACCAACCTTGGGCCAAAGAGTATTACTCAAACACAGCCTCAGACAAGCCACAGAGAGGTGGACAAACATGGCCAAGGTGTTTAGAGATTAATTCAATTAAAGAGCATTTATTAGGCGGCTGCCTTGTGTCAAGTGCTCGTGATACAAAGGAAAAAAAATGGAAAAGTTCCTGTCTTCAACAAGCTTATGTTGTTAGAACTAGATGAAGTAATATGTAAAATGTTAAAGTGTCCTAAAAATGCTAGCTTTTAGTATTACCATTATTATTATTATTATTATTATTATTATTATTATTAATAACATTCTACTGGGGGAGGTCTGCATACAGATAAGTAAAGACAAGAGTATTTGGGGACAGCTAGGTGGTGCAGTAGATAGAGCACCGGCCCTGAAGTCAGGAGAACCTGAATTCAAATCCAGCCTCAGACCAAACACTTGACACTTACTAGCTGTGTGACCCTGGGCAAGTCACTTAACCCCAACTGCCTAAACAAAGACAAAGTATTTGAGGAAGGGGGAGGGGTAGCAGCACCAACAACCAAGGGATGGGGAAGGATTCTGGTAGGTGGTGGCCCATGGGCTGAACCCTGAAGGGAGCTAACTATGCCAAGAGTCAGAAATGATCAGGAAGAGTGTTCTAGGCATGGAAAGTAAGATGGAAAGCAATGAAGAATGTAAAAAAAGTCATAGAGCATAGGCTGTCAGAGAGAGTTCATGATTAGGTAGAGAATGGTGAACAGCTGTAGGAGTAAAGGCAGGGGTGCACTGGGACCAGCTCAAAATGGCTCAAGAGAGCCAATTGTTAAATTTTCAGTGTGAGCATTTCTGGCACAGAAATCAGCAAATGCTGCAAATCAGGGCTGGATTTATTATTTCGTTGATTGTCTAGGCTTAGGAAAGTGATGGAGAGTCTCGGTGAGGGGGGAGGGGAAGGAGGGAGGGAGAAAAAATTTGAAACTCAAAATCTTATAAAAGTGAATGTTGAAAACTATCTTTACACATAATTGGAAAATACTATGAAGTGGAAAAAATAAAAAGAGGAAAAAAAAGAAAGCGATGGAGAAAATATTAGTGCAGATTAAACTTAAAAGTATATCCTACATTTTTTTTCAGTGAGATGGTTGTTAAACATTTTCCAGCAAACCACTAAGTGAGGGTATTATAGCAATCCTCCTCCAACAGATCCCAAAAGACTTTGCGGTAGAGACGACAGACACCCCCCTCCCACCGCCCACCTCCCAGCCTTATGTTGTTCAGTCCTTTCAGTCATGTCTGACTCTGCAGGACCCCGTTTGGGGTTTTCTTGGCAAAGATACTGGAGAGGTTTGCCACTTCCTTCTCCATCACAACCTTAGAGAGGCCCAGAATTCCAAGTCGGACTTCTGCAGAGAAAGAAGTAGATGTCATGTAAACTCACCAGACATAATGTTATACCTGTTAAATAAAGAGGTAGAAAAAATAGCTTTGAGGATGAAGGATAAAGCAAGATTGCCTGGTATAGGGAAAAGAGCACTGGGTCAGGATCAGGAGTACTGGATTCAAATCCTGCCACTGATTCTAACTAGTTGCTTGATCATGAGCAAGTAAGAACTTCTCTAAGACTCACCTTCCTCACCTTTAAAACAGGGGTAGTAATGCTTGCTGTAGAATAATTTAGCAAACCTTAAAAATGATAGATTAATATAACTTGAAGCTATTTCATAGGCATGGTAGCACCTCACAGTTGGGGCATGTTCAGTGCTTCTCTCACATGCAACAAACATGATGTCACCCAGGGCACAGAAGCCAGTAGAGAAGGTAAGCCTTCTCCTGGTAAATAGGTGGAGGCTCCCTCTGATGTGCCAAAGTGAACATCACAATGCGGCTGACTGTTGATGGTCTGTTTCAAGCCTAGGAACCGAACAACTGCTTTCAGTTTGTTAAAGATTCCTTGCTTGGCTTGTCCTTTCATGGGAACCCAGATTCCAAAGTTGCTCAGTCAGGCTCTGGGCAACTACCCAGTGTGGGAGCATTTTCTTTTAAGGGGCAGCTAGGTGGCACAGTGGATAGCGTACCAGCCCAAAAATCAGAGTTCAAATTTGGCCTCATATACTTAATAGCTGCATGACCCTGGGCAAGTCACTTAATCCTGACTGCCCTTAAAACACCTGCTTTTTATTTTCTCTCAAAATATTAAGAAATATTATTTCTCCAGCCTAAAACCTTCCCCAGACTCTTCCCTTGGGAAAATCAGAAGAACAGAGACCAGGACACAGAGACCAGGACCTTCTTTTAAAATGGAACAAACTTAACTCTTTGTCTAGATAGTATCTGCTGTCTTTCTACCCTACCAGAAGTGATTACCATGACACGCCTGAGGCTAGTGTTTTCTCTTTTGAAATTCAAGGTTAAGATATTGATCATAGGAAGGAACTCTAAAAGAGAAGTGGTCCAGCATGCATTTGGTGGTAACTACTCTGTAATGTTAACTCAAAACTTTATTTTAATATAGTATGATTTTTTTTTAAGATTCCTATAAATGTTACCTGAAATTTTCTTGGAGCTGAGTCATGTCAGAAGACATGACAAAT